GATGATGCTGAGACAATATGTGCAGCGGAAAAAGCCATGGTTCTTATTCTACCTCTGATGCCAACTATATGTGATCGACAAGTCTCTGAACATCTGTGGGCTTCAGTTTCCTCAGATACAAAATAAGCCAGGTAGAAACAAATGATGTCTGGGGTCCCTTCCAGGTCAGGATTTCTGATCCTGTGAATTTTTTCAGTGAAGCATGAGGTGAAGTCCTCTGCTGATAGAGAGGTAGTGATGTGGACAACTTGAGAAAAGAAGGTCTTGAGCAGCCATTAGAGAGAGTGCAAAAGTGAAAGATAAAGAAGAGAACAATAAAGAATGGATTTAGGTAAGTTCAGGAGCTGAGAAAGCAGATGATGGGAATCATCCAGGGTTATGTCTGGAAAGTGACAACAGGACAGAAGTACAAGGGACTCAAGGGTATAGGACAGTTTAATGTTGAAATGGTTAAATAAAGAGTTGAGATTTTGAAGGGAGGAGAGTGAAACCAAGAAAAGAGTGATGGCCTGGAAAATCAGGGAGTAGTGAAGTGATTGCAATTGTCCTGAAAAAGAGTGGTAACAGTGGGAATGGAAAGGAGTGAACACATGGAAGGTGGATGTATTATTAGAGCTGGAAGAGATCTTAGAAGTCATCTAATCCAAATCCCTAATTTTACAGATGAGGAAATTTTGTCACAGGAAGTTATATGACTTGTCTAATGTCATAATGGGAGCTAGTGGTTGAACTAGTTTTGAACTTCATTCTCTAACTCCTGGTATAGAGCTCTTTCATATTCATCACAAAATTATTTTAAAAAACCTCAAAAAGTGGGTATAGGGCTCAAGAAGAAGGAAAAATAAGAGGCTTCAAAGACTGGTGATACTATTAAGAGAAATGTCAAAATCAAGGGAAGTAATAGATTTGTGGAAGAGGCAAAAGACTGGGTCTGGACCTTAGGAGAAGGGATACAGGTTCAGAGATACAAATCTAGGATATATCTGCCCTGAGGCAACAGCTGAAAGCACAGGTGGAGATTGCCAAGGGGGAGCATGCATCTCTGGACATATGACAAAGAACTGAACTTTAAGAAACACTTATATTTCTGAATGGGAAGAGGAAAGGGAACCAGAAAAGGAACCTGAGGACTGGTCAGAAATATAGGAGAACCAGGAAAGTACTATAACATATACTTTCTGGGCAAAGCAGGAACTGATTTCAGTGAGGGAGTAGTTAACAGTGTCAAGTGCTGAAAAGAGGTCAGGGATTGAGGACAATTAAGAAAAGATCAATAGATTTGGTGATCTGGATGACCGATAGAATGTAAACTCCTTCAGGGCAGGAACTACAAAATTTATTAAAAAAAAAAAAGTAACTTTGTAACCCTAGCCTAGTACTTTGCCTATTAGATTACAAGCTCTTTGAGAACAGGGGCTGAGTTTGCCTCTTTTTGTATCCCAAGCACTTAGCACAGTGCCTTGGCACATAGTAGACTCTTGATAAAATGTTTATTGATTGCTTAATGTTTGCTGAATGAATGTTACTGACTATTGTTGAGAGAGTAGTTTCAATAGAATAATGACAGAAGTCAGATTACAAAGTAGTAAAGAAGAGCATTAAGTTGAGACCATACAGAAGCTGTAAAAGTATTTTACTTCTTGCAGACTTTTGGCAATGAAGGGTAGAGAAAGATTAAGCAGTGGCTTGCAGGAATAACAGTCCAAAAGATGGCTGTTTTGTTTCATTTTTAAGGGTAGGGGAAAAAAATAAAAACAAAAAAAACCTTAAGGGTAAGGGAGACCTATGAATATCTGTAGTAAATAGAGAAAAGGGATCAAGTGCAGAGAAAGAAAGGGGATAACTGATAGGATAAGGTCCCAGAAAACACATAGAGATGGAATCAAAAACACAGGTGAAAGAAGGGAATTACTTCTTCCTGAGACAGGAAAGGAAGAGCTGATGGGTGCAGACAAAATCTGAAGCAGTGAAGTTGAGAGAACTCACTGTCTTTTAAATTAAATCAAATTTAAAATAATCTGCTAAGTGAGAGGTAGAGGGACAGAATTATAAGTTTAGGGAAAATAGAAAAGGATTCAAAAGGAAATCAACAAAGACAAACTGAGATGAAACAAGAGCTGTGGATCAGAACAGAGGGTCTAGCTAAGGTCAGTCAGCAAAATTTTGCAATGGAAAAAGTCAGCAAGGTCGCATGATTTTGTCTTTTAAAATGTTTTATTGATGTCCTTTTCTCCTTTTATTAAATCCCTGTCTTTTCCCAGTGACTACTCCTTCTCCCACGCCCACCCCCTTCATCCCTCACCCTGGCCATAGATCTCTCTTTCATAACAAATAAGTACAGGAAAGACAAACACATTGTTTGGTCTGAAAACTGCATTATTTTCAGCATCCTGTACTGACAGCAGAGAAAGCCAATCAAATATTGGAAACCGGATGGCTGTGGAAGGTCCTTGGGGGTGTTGTGTTGTTGTTAGTGAGTTGTTTCAGTCATGTCTCACTCTTCATGACCCCATTTGGGGTTCTCTTGGCAGAGATACTGGAGTGGTTCGCCACTTCCTTCTCCAGCTCATTTTACAGATGAGGAAACTGAGGCAAACAGGGTTAAGTGACTTGCCCAGGGTTATGCAGCTGAAGGTCAACAAACATCTAAGGCAGCATTTGAACTCAGGTCTTCCTGACTCCAGCCCTCAGCCCTTTATCCACCTAAATGCCCCTGAGGTGCTAGCGGTATATAATGGAAAGAACACTTGACGTGGTTATGGAACCTGGATACAACTCCCAGTTCTTTTGACCGTAGGCAAGTCTCTTCGACTCTCTAGGGCCCTGGTTTCCACATCTATGAAATGTATGGATTGGTGGGATCCCCATCTATAAGGCTGGGATTGATGATCACTAAGGTCCCTTACCATCCTAAATCCTAGGACTTTATGAATTCTAGGGTACTAATAAGAATATAACTGAAATAACTGATCAGGCTGAGTAGGGAGGAATGAGAAGCCAGGAGAGGTTGATGGACTGGGAGACAAGGATAAAGAATAGGCTCAGTAGGAGTGAGGTTGTAAAGAGGCAGAAGAATATGAGGACACAGGGCAGGGAATTTCTAAATTTAGATGTTGGAGGTGAAGCAATTCCATGTGATGACAAGGCCTAAGTTAAGGGTGGCAATGCTTGTGAGTAGTTTAAGGGGATGGAGATTAAGGTCACTGGATTGGAAAAGGTTGTGAAACTGTGAGATGGACTTTAAGATAGATTCTTACCAGTGCAACTGAGTGGGATAATTCAGTTTAAATAACATGGCTAAGAATCATCACTGATAAATAAAAGTATGCATTGTATGGTTTTACATATATTTATAAATCTGTGTCAAATAGTGGTCTTCTCTAGTGGGGGGGAGGGGAGGGAGATAGATCGTTCTTAACTCAAAATGTAACAAAAAATAAATAAAATGAAATAAAATAATAATAATAAAAGAACCATAAGCTGTGTGTGTCTGAGTAAATTACTACACATTTCTGGGCTCCAACTTCCCAAAAGTAAAATAAGCAAACTTTCTCTCCCCAGATTGTGGTGAACATCTGAGAAACTCTCTGTGAAAGTACATCAGGAAAAAGGATGTTAAGTGAATCCAAATGGATTCTTATTTGGTATTTCAATGTCAACTATCCTTATGGACTTAGTTTTTTTTTTTAAACATTATAAATCTGATCTTGAAAGTAAAACTCCATTCGAAGAGAAGTCTTAAAACCATATTCAATCTCCCTTTCCCCCCAAATCCTGCTCTTTATCTAAATCCATCATCCCATTACTCTCTATACCTATACTGTCTACTTATGACTCACAGGTCTGGGCTGGGTTTGTGAAAAAAACAATGATGTTTTTCTAAAACAAAGAAGTAGGAAGGCTTCCTAACAGGAATTCTGATATAACCAATTTAGACCAACCCTGCTAAGTAAAGGCATCTAAAAATTGTTTTGCAGTCTATTTGCCCTGAGTGCCAGCAATAAATAATAATAACAATAATAATAATAATAATAATAATAATCATAATAGCTGGCAGAAGCACAATTATTTTCCCCACTGAGGGTCAGCAAGGTTAAGTGACTTACCTTGCACCCTACAGCTTGTATCTGAAGCAGGATTTGACCCCATGTCTTCCTAGGATCATAGATTTAGATCATGAAGGGACCTCAGAGACCACTGACTCTATTCTCCCCACATCACCTCATCCTCCAGATTTTACAGCTGAGGAAACTGAGGCTAGAGAGGTTAAGTGATCTTCCCAAGTTACCAAAGAGAATAAAAACAGTGCTAACAGTGTGTTGATGATTGGGAAGAAAAAGGTCACAGAGGCAGCGAACATCTGAGGCGAGATCCGAAGTCAGGTCTCAAAGTCCAATCCTCCATCCACCGCATTACACTGCCCCTCATTAAATAATAAATATTATTAGTCAATGGCAGTCAGGAAGTTCCAAAATCAGAACATTCTCTTAGAGGGGGAAAAGATAATTTTAATATGCCAATTTTTATGGGCAAATACTTAATGGATAATATATAACAGAAAAAACAGATAATACATACAAGAAAAGGGTGCTTTCCATGAACTGACCTATGGGGATGGGACTCTGCTCTTTGTTTCTATGTCCACTGGGCGATACATATTGCACTGATTTTCTCATCTTTTTCTGAGAAGTGCCTAGTCCTGAGGAATTTTGGGGGAGAAAGGAGAATCAGCAGTAATTTCATGAATTCTTCAATCTAGTATCTTTTTTGAATAAGAATACAGAGGAGACACCCATACTCATACCCCTATGGAGAATAGGAACTTAGTATCTTTTCCCCCTTGTCTATGAACACTGAAAAATCCAATATATTTTGTTCCAATTCTCTAGTTACCAAAGAGAATTAAAAGAGTGTTGAGAATTTGCTGATGATAAGAAAGTGTACAAAAAAAAAATGAAGACAGGCATCAGAGAAGGAAGGAAAACTCATACAGATGAAAATTCAGACTTGCCTTCTAGGAGGCTCATTTTATTCATTAGAATCTCATCGAAATACTTCTGGTACAGTGTAACCTCAACAGGTAGTTACAGAACAATGCTTTCAGGAGTACAATCTAAGTTGAAAATTTTGGGGGAAGAAAAATACACACCATTTTTGCCATAAGAGTTTGCATGCAATGTAGAAATTCATTTCCAAAATAATCAATTTTCATACAAAGTCATCTGTTGTCAATTTGAGGACTGATTGTGACACTATACACTTGCAAAAGAAGTACATATTAGTCATAGCTACTCAGCCTTTCTGAAATAGGATGATACTATTTTAAAAGAATCTCTACCTATTTAGGAATTATCCAGATAACTTCTTAAAGTTGCACTCTGTCAAAATGGCACTATATAAAATGAGGCTAAATGCTGGGTATAACAATGGTTTATTAAGCATACTCAATAACTATATTTACCATTTCTTCTTCCACTGTTATCTTTTCAGTAATGTCAGAATCAAAAATTAATTTTACTCTGGAGAAAACTCTATGGCCAAAATGACCTTCCTAAATGTTTAGTGACCACTCAGGGAGGGCAACACTTGGCACTCATATCTTTATTCAAAACCAAATGCAATTTTGGAAGAAAAAAGTTAATTATTTTTGGGAAGGAGTTGAAGGAGCCCAAGAGAAAAATTTTACATAGAGGTCCTTTGTTAGTGTAACATTTGACCTATCTCTTTGGAAATCATACAACTTGGCTAATGCAGCCCTTAAAGAATTAATCAAGTAGATTGTTAGGCCCTGGTTACACTAGAGCTAGCCAATTATAAGTTGCTCAGAAATTCATCACTGGCATGTCCAACTACATTTTCCCACATAAAGATTAGAAAAACTATGTGGAAACGGGGCCCACTCCCTGATCAGCATAACTATAATACGCAGCAAGTGGAACAAAACATTTAGTGAAGTGCGGCTTTGGAGAAAATAATTGTCAGCATTTTATTTGGAGGGTCAGGGATCTTTCTGATTCTCCACTTCACGTTACAACATTATAGCATCTCCTTCCACAGTTTCATAGACTTCCCTATTTTGTTAAACCCAAACTATAGCATTTTTATGTTCATAAACATGTAAGAACCCTAGATCTATTACTGTATTATTACTTGGCTGATGAAAGCAGCACATGACACCACAAGTGGCTTCTTTTTGAAGTACTAATGCTCAGGAGAAGGCCCAATCAAATGCTACTGAACAAGAAGGAAGCCTGCTTTACAAAAAGGAAAAATGAAACCAAAGAGAGTAGGGCTAGCTTTTTAAGGAGCGTGCAGAAATATTCCTGAAGAAAAGTTCTTCTCAGATAACAAGAATTGTATTACAGTTCAACTAGTCTGTTTACTACCCTTACTCTGAATTTTGATATTTAACACAGCATGTAAAAAAGCAAACTACTGGTTTAAGGCAAGCCTTCCTTTTTCAGGCATTTTAGCACAGGAGAATATCAAGTGTGGTATCGGCACATTCCGCTTCTCATCTTCTTTCTCTTTCTTTATCTGATGCTAGATGAAGTTTTCAGATCTTCCAGGAAAAAAATCAGTTTTGTAAAAGTGAAGTCAAGTTCTATAAAGCATAATATCACTGAAACGAGAACGTAACACCAATCCTTTTAGTTCATTTTGGGAGTAGTGAATTCCATGTCATTGGAGGTCTTTAAGTAGAAGCTAATCATCTGGATAATCCATGTTATATGGGAATTTTATGATTTGGACAGAGGTTAGACTAGATGACCTCTAAAATCTCTTCCAACTCTAAGGTTTTACAACTCATAAGTATGAAAGATATAAAAATTTCCTAAAGATAGTTTAGAAAGAACAAATTTTTGTAACAATTTTATAAATCTTAAAGTGAAAGGGGGAAAATGAGAGATAATGCTAACTATGAAATAAACTAAGAAAGTTTTTTGAAAGGTTTTCCTTGACTAAATGAGCACACTTCAGAGAATCGTCTCCATTTGCTATTGTGTTGACCCCTCTAACAAATATCTTAATGACTGAATGAATGCCTGACAATAGGCAGTTGCTAAATTAGGAACGGGTTGTGTTCCAGGAGTCCATTTATAATTGGGTTGTATGGAATTTAACGGATTTTCTTATAGGAAAGTGCTATAAATAGTGGTTAAGTTTCCAGACCACCCCACAAAAGACTATTTAAGCAGTAAAATACCTGCAATGTTTCAACAATACCAACTCGCCATTGCCAGCAATTTCTAAGAAAAAATGCAATAGATCTTTCCTTTCTTCATATATGCATAAAAGACCAAGTTTTACACTTGTATAAGAAATATTAGGTTACTATTTCTGACACCTCTCTCTTCCCCCACCAAAAAGTCAACTGGCCCCACCAAAATCAATGGGCAGGTGAACGGGTGGAGTAGAGAAGTGCCAGATAAAGACAGTGGCCAACTTCCCAGTATGTATGGGTAAATTTATAAATTGAGAACTCTTTGTATCTTAGTCAGCACCCCATCTATAACAGTTAGATAGTTCCCTCTAAGTGATAATATCTCAGTATTAGTCTGAAGCTATTTTCTGTCTTCTCACAACTTCAGGAATTTTAAGACCATATGTAAAAATCTTTGAGATGAAACATGACCTGTAAGAGTTCACTTTGTCAGGATACCATTTTTAAAATTACATACAAAAATCTTCATATCAATTCAACAAAGTTACAAATATATAAATATTTTAAATCAAAAGTTAATAGTAAAAAGCCTATTCTACAAAAAAAACCAGAGGCTTCAATAGTGCAAAAAAATTTCTGCAGCATAGATTACTTGCTTTGATTACATTTTAATCTATGAAAGGAGGTTGCACTTCAAAATTTGTTACTATTTATTCATAAAGGAATAATCCATAAAGGAATACTATCAGAAATATATTTATTCCATGTGGTTCTTATGGGATCTTCTAGCCATCAGCGATCTCTCAGATTATGGCAAGCACTACATGCTATCAATGACAGATGGTGGAAACAGTATACTCTACCCCATCTCTTGGCCACTACTCTCAAGGGAATATAGTCATTCCAATGCCTACAAGTCTATTCCATATTTCTCCTCTTCCCTTCCTGACCCTACTACCCTGCCATTCACCTAGGAACATTTTCTCTCACTGTTCCTCCATGATTCCACATGCACAGCTGCAATCTTTCTTCACACTGTAAAACAGATAGGATTCTCTTTGAAGTCCATTTCTCTCCATGACAGATAATGCAAGTAAGTTTGTTTCAGAGTTCTGTAGAATACTCTCTCTCCTTCCTCAGCATCATTGCAGGAGACAGAGTTATATTGTGATCAACAAGCTCCCTTGTTACACCAAAAGGAAACCAAAAAGATGCATAAGAAAACAGCATTGGAAGACTTGGAAATGGAAAGGGACTGTTCTTTTGAGTTTTCTCTTAGCACATGGTAATATATAAGGTCATTCAAAGATGTTATTTTTATACTTGGCAAAGTCCAAGAATTGTACCCCTCTGTACTTGAACTCACAGCTCACAAATATCCAACCCAAATATCTATTCTCCCTCAACAACAGTGGAGAGTCATTCTTCTTGAGGCTTGACCAAGGACCAAGTGCAAACTGGCTACGTGCCAGTGGCAACTTAGCACATCGTGAAGCTGACCTTCAGGGAAAAAGGGGCACCAGCAATCTTACCACTGATGCTAGAGGAAAGCCAGCCAATCTTTTAAGGCACAGAATAGGCTGTCACTTAAATAGGTTTTAAAACATGGCAGGGGGGAGGGGAGAGAGCAAAAGAATGAGAAAAAATAGCTGGAGGAAAAACAGAGATAGAAACTTTATGTAGAATGAGGGATTTTTTGACCCTCCCCATCACCACCCTCCTTACCACACCCCCCCCAAAAAAACTTTTCACTTCTAGCATCATCACAGATAGAACTTCTAACTTACAACTCAATATCTTTATTTGAACCTAAACATTAGAAGGTAATGTCTTAAAATGAGAGGAAAACATCCTTTTCTTATCATCTTTTAATATCTCCAGGGTGAAGATGGAAAGATGCATAAGAAAACAGCATTGGAAGACTTGGAAATGGAAAGGGACTGTTCTTTTGAGTTTTCTCTTAGCACATGGTAATATATAAGGTCATTCAAAGATGTTATTTTTATACTTCGCAAAGTCCAAGAATTGTACCCCTTTGTACTTGAACTCACAGCTCACAAGCACTGCTTGGTCTAGAACTAAGTGGTGACATGTACTTGAGTTCCTAAAGTCAGGACAGCAAATCAGATTGCCAGAGGCAAATTTCAGGTCAAATCACATTCTGTATCCAGGGCAACTGATCTAATCACCTTGCTTGCACCACCCTAACTGTACTACTAAATTTAACCTAAGTTCAGTGGATCTTAGAGCTAATGATTTAGATTAAATGGAAAACCAGAAGCCTTGTTCATAAAATATGGAATTTTTTTAAAATGCCAAACAAAACATACAATAATGGTAAGCAAGCCAAGAAAAGCTGGATTGTTCTTAAGTTAGTAATGAGTGCTGTATTACTATGAAGAGTGATCTACAGAGACCAACTTTATAATGTTCAGCACTGTACTCTTTCAAGTTTTTTGTTCAAGTTACAGAATCATAGGTCAAATCACCCAAGACCCAAATTTGAAGGCTCCATGGCAGCAACTGTACAAGACATGACTCATAATTTACTCTAAATGCACATTTTCCACATCTCAACTGGTTTGCACAGACAAATCAGAAACAGTTTCCTGTGTGTCTCACAAATATTCTAAGCAAGTCCTTGAGACCATACTTACAGCTTTAGAAAAAACACCCATGAGTTCAGGAAACTGATGGGTGAGAAGGGCAAGCATTGCTGTAGAAGAACACAGGCCTGCTGTGAAGTGAATGAAAAAAGGAAGCTCCTTCTTTGGGTAAACAGAAACATGATGAAATGCTGCAAGGAAAAAAAAGTCAGAATAATTACATATTTTCCTAAACAGCATCTAACCTCATCTAAAACAACAGTAACTTCTAGTAAAATTTATTTTTAAAGGTGGAAAAATTAAGAAGAAACAACAAAAAAAAAATCAGTTAAGTCCCAGGCCACATGAGGTGTGTATGTTACTGATGGTTACTTATTTTAAATGATGCAAGAATGTGTGAGTGCCAGTACTGAAGCAACTGCCCATGCTAGGATTTCATGGGCTACAAAGCTGAAGGCCCAGAGTTGGCCGTCAACCCAGAGATTCCTGAAGCAACATCCAGTGTTCTGTGAAAGATATCCAATTCAATGCAGTCTTAAGGAGGTCAGCGATAAATTATACTTTCTTTAAACATATTCACAAGATCTTCTATACCTAATTTACTGTTTTCAGTAGCTATAATATTTTTGTGTCTCCTTTGCTAAATTTACCATTGCATTACAAAAGCTAAAAATCTATTATAGACAGAGTAAATCCTCAGGGATCTAGGTTATGTTTACATCAGGAAAATACCGGCAATGCATTGGAAATAAGAACCATTCTATATTCTAGCACCTATGCTTCTAACATAGCAACCCATCTGTGAGTTGCCTCCACCAGGCAGACAGAGTATCTGGTATCACTGTTCTCCCCTCAGCCATGTACGGCCATCCCTTATTTTCTATCACCAGTGCTACCACTCTCATTTAGTCCCTCTTTACCTCTCACCTGAACTCCCAAAATAGCCTCCCTACCTCTGCCTCAAGTATCTTCTCCTCTCAAATCTATCCTGCATGCAAATAATAGACAAAGTTTCTTAAAGAATGCCTCTGATCAGACTCTCCTAGTCTAACTCACATAGGAAAAGAAAGAACATCTATCCTTTAGAAGGGAGGGAACGTATAGTTTGATGTGTGCCAATGGTTCTCACTCCAACCCCACAAAGTCTCTTACACAAAGGTAGTAACGGGGGGACAGACGCCAAAACCTTGTCATAGCTATTGCATAGCTATGGCTATGTGATTTTCCAAAATGTGAAATGTTCATGTTGTGTGAAGGTCCTAATTATTTCTTTTTGGATGACTTTCTAAAGAGAATCACTTGTCAGTCAATGTTCAGTTAATACCTCAAGATAATAGATGACTAAGGGAGAAGCACTCCCTTGGAGCCAAATTTCAGATTTCATCACTAGTTTGCATGGAAAAATTTATCAGGGGGTATTATAGAAGACTACTAAATATGTGAACGAACAAAGGAAATAGTTCCAGTCTGACCTTCATTCTGAAGCTCACAAGTAAATCCCAGCATGCAATAAGTCAAATCAAGGGTGAAGAAGGATTAAAAACAAAACTTATTAAACACTTGTAGGCATTAGGACTTCATGTTATTAGAAAAAAAACAAACCTGTCTGTTCTACAAGTCATCTGACACACTGAGACACAATATAGACAAAAAAAAAAATCAGGGCATGCAACCCCACCCCCAATTTGTAAATCAGCAGGCAGCATCCATATCCGTGGAGCTAACATTAACTCAGCCTTGCCAACAGGCATGCTGCCAAAATTGTGGCCTTACAGAGCAGAGAATTCTGGTTTTAGTTATATTATTATCCAGGCCTGGCCTTATGCTTAAGAAGAGAAAACAGCCATTTATGTAGCACAATTTCAGAGGTAATGAAGAAGACTTCCCCACTTCTTCCTCCAATAGTGTCACTCACTATTGTGAAATTCTCACTGAAATTCTGCAATTAGAAATTCATTCCCTTAGCTTAAAAATTCTGGTCCCAACCATTAAAATGCAAATTCCTCTGGGAATGGTAGCAACTTAAATCTCATCAATCATTTCACTCACATGTTCAACATAAAATTTATTGAGCACTATGGATGGATAAAAAAGAAGTCTTTATCTAGTAGGGAAGCTAAGATATGCATACGAATAAGTATGACAAATGGCAGTGCCCAGTAAATCTTATGGAAGAGGTGCAAAATGATACAGGGGCTCAGAAGAAGCAGGGATTACATCTGAGGTACTGAGGGAGGGCCCCTGAAGGAGCTGGCATTTAAGGTATTTCTTTCAAGATGTGAAATAGACAAAAGTAAGGGAGGCCATCCTAGGCAGAAGGAACAGTTCCAGTCAAAAGGCAAAGGTAGAAGAATAGTCTAGATTAGTATGGAGTGTCAAATAGGAGAGTGGGGGGAGGAAGCCAGAATGGGAAAGCTAATTGGGTCAGATTGTGGAAGATCTGGAATGCTAGGCTAGGGAATTTAGATTTTATATTCTAGGTAATATGAAGCCACTGAAAGATGTGGAGTTGGGAAGTAATATGATCAGAAATGAGCTTTAAGAAGCTTCATCTGCAAATGCATGCAGGATAGATTGGAGAAGATACTGGAGGCAGAAAGGAAAGGGCAAGGGAATAGGTATTTATATAGAAGCTACTATGTGCTAGGCACTGTGCTTAGCACTTTACAAATATTATCTTATTTGATCCCAAAACAACTCTGTAAGGTAGGAGCTATTATTATCCTTATTTTACAGATGAGTAAACTGAGGCACCCAGAGGTTAAGTGATTTGGCCAGGGTCACACAGCTATTAAGTGTCTGATGCTAGATCTGAACTCAGGTCTTCCTGATTCCAATTTCACTCTATCTACTATCTACTATGTCTCTAGCTATAGTAGAAGACTATCTTAGGAGTTCAGATGAGAGGAAATGAAGGCATAAACAGGGTGGTGGTAGTAGAAACAGAAAGGATGTGATGTGTTTGAAAAACATTACTTTTTTTAAAAAATAAGTTTTTATTAACATTTCCTGCTTTTTAATATTACCTAAGCATCACAGGGTACCTTTCTCCTTTCCCCTCCCAGGGAGCCATTCCATATGACTAACAGTATTTTTTGGACAGGAAAAAAAGAGAGTCAGCACTACTGATGGACACATTGAAAAAGTCCAAAAATGCAATGTGTAAGATCTGTTGACTTCCCCCCTCCACGAAAGGGGAGGGTGGGGTGTCTTTTCATATCTCTTCATTTGAGTGCTGTTTGAGCTTTATAATTTTCTTACATTTGTTTTTGACTATTTTGTGTACAGTCATTCTTATCATTTATATTGTTGTTCCTTGGCTCTGCTGACTTCACTCTGCATCAGTTCGTGTACATCTTTCTCTGCTTCTCTGTATTCATCATCAAAATAATTTCTTATAATACAGTAATATTCCATTACATTCATGTACAACAATTTTGTTTAGCCATTCCCCAGCTGACCAGCATCTCCTTTGTTTCCAACTCTTAATTACCACAAAAAGTGCTTCTATTAACTATTGAATAGTATATGGGGACTTTTTTCTTTTCAATAGCTTTCTTAGGATAGAAGCCCAGTGATGGATTCTCTGGGCCAAAGGGTATGGACATTTTAGTCCCTTTATTTGCATAATTCCAAATTGCTTTCCAAAATGATTGTACCATTTCATAGTTCCACCAACAATGTATTAGCATGCCTATCTTTCCACAAGCCCTCCAACAATTTTTGTCATTCTTGCCAATTTGCAGTATGTGAGTTGAAACCTCAGATTTGCATTTCTCTTATTATTAGTGATTTGCAGGGCTCTTTCATGCAGTTGTGAATAGTCCGCAGTTTGTTTTTGTTTATTTTTGTTTTGGGGTTTGTTTTGTACAGCAAATGAGGTTAAGTAACTTGCCCAGGGTCACACAGCTAGTAAGTGTCCAGTGTCTGAGGCCAGATTTGAACTCAGGTCCTCCAGATTCCAGGGCCAGTGCTCTATCCACTGCACTACCTAGCTACCCCTTGAATAATATTTTTTCAAAAGAATAATCAACAGGAGTTGACAACTGACTGTATGTGAGATGAGGAAAAAGTCAAAAATGTCTCAGAGGTTTTGAGTTTGGAGAAGGTAGAAATACTCAACAGAGCTGGAAAGATGTCAAGGAAGAGGAGGAAACCTGGAAAATTGACACTGGATTTGGCAATTTTGGGTCACTGATAAGAGGCAACATGGTCTAGTGGATAGAGTGGTATCTGTAAGACCTGGGTTGGACTCTTGCCACACATACTAGCTGAGTGAACTCAGGCCTCAGTTTCCTCATCTTTAAAATGAGGGGGTTGGACTCAACAATCTCTACATTCCCTTCCAGCTCTGCCTTTAACATGAAATAATTTTGAAGTGACCAGTTTTAGTGAAGAGTTGGTGGCAGAAGTCTGATTGTTAGAAGTTAAGTAGTGAGGGGCTGCTGGTGAGACAGCAGAGACAGAAATGTCCACTTCTCTGAGAAATTCAAAGGAGATGTGATAGCAATTCAAAGAAGTAGCAGGGCTTTTTTATTTTGTTTTGTTTTGTTTTTGGCTAGGCAATGGGGCTAAGTGACTTGCCCAGGGTCACACAGCTAGTAAGCGTTATGTGTCTGAGACCAGATTTGAACTCAGGTCCTCCTGACTCCAGGGCCAATGCTCTGTCCATTGAGCCACCTAACTGCCCCTTCTGTTTCGTTTTTAAGGAGAGAGCTTCAGGAAAGATGCTAGAAGAAAGGGAGATATTTAAGATTCAAGAGAGAAGCAGCATAACTGATGGAACAAGGTTCCAAAAGAAGCAGGCAGGGATACAATTAAGAGAACAGATAGGATTCGGCCTAGAAAGGAAGAGGAACAAAGAGATTTTTTTTTTGAAACTGAAAGAAATTGAAAGAAAAATCTTGAGATGGAAAGAAAGAAAATCAAGAATGCTTATATTGGATGTCCTACACTCAATTTTTTTTTAAGGAAAGTGAGAGTTGAGATTTTCTGCTGAGAATGATAAAGGTGGAGTTAAGAGATTGAGGATGGTGGACAAGATTTGAACAACTCCCGTGGGATAATTACCATTGTGAATGAGTTTTATAGTTTTTATCCTTGAGGCAGGTTTTTATTTGTGGGGAGTTTGGGGACCATGAGGACACTGGGAAACTGGGAGACGGCACAAAAAAGGAAAGCTAAAGGCTGTGGAAGTCAATCTTCAACCATTTCATAGCGCATAAAAGAGCTGCTATTGTAGTACAAGTTAGGAAAGATAGCTGGATGGGGCTAATGAAAGGGTACAGATTCTTTAGGGCATGGACCATTACATTTTTGTGAGTGTTTTCCCCCCTGACTTAACCAACAAATGGTGAAAGTAACAATAACTGAAACCATGCTGTTTTGATGAGAAAACAATCACTCTATTACTAGGTTTTACAAAACATTTTCCTGCAAAGAATGTAAATTAAAGTCTACCTATATTTGAGCAGGGACACTATTATTGCCTAGGATCGTAAATAATCCTGTCATTCAAAGATGTATTAATATTGATGTTCTTTTACCTCTCATTCAATGAAACAATGCATTGTTGGTTACTTTTGCAAAACTGCTTTTTTCTTTTCTTCTTTGTTATAAGGAATGGCACTCTGGGGAATGGAAGGAGAGGGATACACTGGGGAAATATAGACGATGAAAAGCTAAAAGACATCAATAATACTTTATTCTAAAAAAAAACCACATTGAGTATAGTTAAGACAGTGAGTAGGTTTATACAGTGCTTTGGGATTCAACTGAAAATGCTTCAAAAATGGAAGGTCAAAATTATGGGGGGAAATGTAATTGCATAAACTTAGAAAAACATGAAAAATTCACTTACTGGGTAATAGTTCTCTGTCGGCTGTCTCCGTGCAGCTGGGATAAGGGTAAAATAGATGGCCTTTCTCTAATGGGTATGGAATCATTCTAAAAGCTAAGGGAAACAAAAGCAAAATATTTGCATTGAACACTGGATAACTTATTCTATAATTCAGTGAAAAGCTATATGGCATTCTCAATATAAATAAAAATGAATGAATAAAGCAGTTATTAAACACTTACTACGTGCAAGGCATCACACTAAGTATTGGAGGTACAGTCAGAAGAGTAAAACAATCCCTGCACCCAAGAAGCTCACATTCCAGTAGGGGAAACAACACATAGAGAAGGTTACAGTTACAAGTCGGATAGAAAGGTCCCAGGGTCTTTAGGGTTTGGCAGCAAAGCACATGTTAATGCCTCTTTTTAAAAATGCCATCCACTGATAAAATCATATCAGTTTTTGATGTTAAATCATTTGTCAGTACCAAGGACTTTGGTGCAAGAAAAGCATTCTTTAGGTCTTCAATAACTGTGGCTACAGACAGCAAGCACCTGCAGTGGTACTTGCCATGCTACATCTGCACAGGGATTGCTTTCTAACACTGTGGCTGAGGGCTCTGGGCTAGAAGCATTGCTTTTTCTAAGGTTCTTGAGTTCAGTCCTGGATTGTCTTCACCAGAATCTGAGGGGAGATAGTGGTTAAGGTAGTGGTGGTAGTTTCGTCTGGTTTGCCTGGTATATGCCACCTCCTGTTTCTCCCTCGGGTGCCTTGAGAAAGTAAGAGCTAGGGTTTTCTGTTGAGAGTAATATGGCTAAGGTAAGGAGCTGGAGAATGGAAAAGATTTGGAACAGCTTCTATGGGAAAATTATCAATGTGAAAAAATATTATAGTTCCTTTCTCTGAGGCAGTTACTCCTTCGTGAAGAGACTGAGGACCATGAGGTCACTGACAAACTGGGAGATAGGGCACCATGAAGTAGGGCATAAAAAGAAAATGCTAAAGACTATCGAAGACAAATGCTGACTACTTCACAGTGCTCTTCCTGCTACTCCTGTAGCACAGGTTAGTCAAGGCAGATGTTTTACAAAACAACCAAGAGAGCTCCATTAATTTCTCCAGACCTTGAAAAAATGGACTCTATCATTTACTTACTTAGTAGTTTATACATGCTGCTTCTGCATGACCACTCTATGAAGCAGACTGGGATTATTCTCCTCACTTTGTGGGCAGCTGACTTTATTCCAAAGGGACTCCTACATGTGATTCCTCAGGTTATGGCTCAGGGAGCACATCAAGGAATTGCTGTTGGTCCTGGGTTTACCCTGAAGCACCCTCTAATAGTTCCCCTATGGAGCTGGGCATAAAATGGGAACTGTTAAAAATTCTTGTGGCTCCTTGTAAGGGCATTGATTCAGCTAAGTGTACTTTGGTCACTACCTTGATCTTTACTGGGAAATATCAGTTTCTTCTCTTACAGGGTGCTGGCCATTGATAATTTTCATATCTTTTTTTAAACATGGATTTAATTTGATATTGATAATGCTTTTGCTATCTTTCACTTACATCATTTTGTGTGTGACTGAACACAAGAGAAAAATGATAGTCCAACGTTGTAAATTAAGTGACAAAGTTAAGGAGTCATATAACAAGTTGTCTATTCATGAAAAAGTGAATAATGTGTTATAGTGAAGTTATATGAGAGAAGAATGAAAAGAATGTCATATTATACTACTTATCCTAGTTTAATTTTCTGCATGAATACTTGTTTAAAAATAAAGCTGTCATTTTGGGAGGCAACCATCTGAAATCATTTTGTAGTATGAGAATGACTATAAGAATTCCTACTGCTAAAAAATAGGTATCCATGTGTCTTCACTTCTTGTCTATTTATTACTTAAGAAGCTAAGAAGGAAAAAAAGCCCAACTACATAACTTTTTACAAAGAAAACTTTAAAACAATTAAACAAACCTGAAAAAGTTCACTAGTCTAAAGTCTCTTATACTTATCTATTATTTCCCCATACATTCAACATTTCAAAAATCCATAACATCATCAATGTGGGTGCTTCTTTCACCAATGCAGATGACTACCCTATCAGGTCTTAGCAGATAATTTCACAAGCTGCTGTGCCAAAAAAAAAAATTATCCTATATCTAATTTTCAAGGGAAAAGCCTCACCAAACTGAGCTGAGCTGGTCCTCAGATGACAGACATAACTAACATCTGTCAATGATCCAGTAATTGAAATCTTTATAGCCCAGTGGGACCTGTAAGAGCTTAAGCTCTGCTGGAACTGTCTTTGAAGAACCCAGAGTCACCTCCATGTCATGATGAGGCATTACAACAGGACTTAGAGATCTTCAGTAGTGTTCCCCACAACTGTGTACTTTAAATAACGTGTATATGTTACATCACTACAGCTAGCTACATGCGCTTTACTGGACACTTTAAGACTGCAGCTTCAATCCCACCCCAAATGTGGCATCAAGATAAATGAATTAAGTATTTCCAGCAATAAACCAAACATAATAGTATTGAGTTCACTCTGAAACTAATCTGAACAACAAAGCCTTAAGGAGGCTAACACAATCTCATTAAAGCAGACTGCTAGTGAATGCTGTGAATAAAGTCAGAGAGATTAGCTAGTAGGATTGGAAAAGAATACTTACTGCCTTCCCACGTACACTGCAACAGATTAAGGGCACCTTCTATTCGTTTCCAGTGCTGAAGATGAAAGAAAGCATAGGCAACTGCCTCACTGTCCCCCCGTTTCAGAATATGTTCTGGGGGTAATATTAAACTTTTCATTTCAAGTAAATACTGGAAGAATAACACACACAAAGACACACAAGAGAAGAAAAGAAAGTGAAGTTATCTGGATTAGACCCAAGCTTCACAAAAACACATCTCAAAATGTTAGGAAGCTTGTCTGCTATACTGAAATCTCAGGAGTGATAGATTCATGATGAAACTGAGAATCCAGCAGAGGGGTGTGGGTGTGTTAAATACTGATTAAAAAAACATACACACACAAGATTCTCAAAGTTTATGATGTTCTCACTGGCCACAAAAATGGCAAAAGGAATAAAGATTCCTCAAGATTAAAATGGAAACAGAAGCTGAGAAAATCGACTGACAATCCCCATGAACACCCCTGAGAAAAGCAAAAATGAAGAAGTCAGCAACACAGTAAAGCAAAAATAATGTCAAATATTTACAAAGCACCATGCTGGGGAGCACTGTATTGAAATATTTTTTTCTTTTTTCCTCTTCTTCTTGAATTTTCAGGAAAGAGAACTAGAATTAATAGAGTTGCCCAACTTCATTCTGAAATCCATCTTTTACTCTAACATAAAGATCCTGTTTTACCATTAAAATCATTAATAAAAGCAGAGAAATAATGGCCAATGTATCCATCAATCATATTGAAATGAAGATGGAAACTGAAATGTCCACTTGAACATACGTTATCTTTATTATCCACGATAATACTATTCAATACTGTTTAGTTAGCCAATCTAGCTTTTCTCCACTCAAGGCTCAGGACACTCTCTTCTCTCACTGAAATGGGCTCAGAAGACTCTCATTGGTTATAAGCAAGCTGATACTACATTATGAGTCATAATAGCCAAACCACACTAACTTGTTATAAAATGCAAGGGGAAAAGTTCCTACTTGCAGATGTGTTGCATAAGAAACATATTCTTTCACTTCAAATCAACAGTGTGGTTCCCATGGTTTTTATACAGGCCAAAGTAAAAAGAACAGACATCGACGAGAGATGTTTGTAAAACTGAGAGTCTATAGTCCTGTAATACATTTTAGCTGCAACAGCTTCAAAAATTTTAAAAGGAGACCATTAGGTCTTGCATTTTAAAATGTTTCTAATACATGCACCTAAATACACAGCTCACTTCAATCATCCAAATATATATAAAATGAATTTTTTCCAGTTTGTTTATGAAATATACCTCTTAGATAATGACTAAGCTTAATCCCCACCTTTAATCATTTTTGCTCTTGATGTTTCTGACTCTCTCCTCAAAGTGTAAGAATGCAGCCTGCTCATCAATTTATTTCAGCAGATGTCACAAACTATGAGATTATTTACTAATCCAGTTTGGGGACTTAACATTTCCCATTCAGTTTCTAAAAGGAATGCAGTAGAGGTTGTGCCCTGGTCAAGCAAAGCCCATTTACTGCCTGACTGGGTTCTCTCCCTTAGTGCCTTGGGCCTATACTTGGGAGGGTAATATTCTTTCTAATCCCCTTTAATCCTCTTCCATTTTTTTTAAACATAGTAAAAGATCACTCACACCAGGCGGCTGTGGGAAAACTGGCTCAAATATCTGACCTCTGACATGACTCTTTATGCTCTCTGTGCTGAATACGCCACAAGTGCACTAAGTGCTTCAGTAGGAAGCATGAGCGCGCGCTCGCTCACACACACACACACACACACACACACACACACACACACAATGCTGCACTCACAGGAAAGTCTCTACCTGAAAATTACAAGTATTTAATTTTTTAATTTTGAGACCTACTTAACACATAGGAATTTTCCATTAAAGCTTATCTTAGTTTTTACAAATAGCAGCTCATATGGAACTGTAAAAATATTGCAATTATTTTATATTTACACCCCTAAAGATTTTAGTTTACTATTAACTAAAACCTTAGATTCCAAATGTTGTACACAGCTACAGAGAACATTGCTAGGCATTCAACTTGAACCAAGGTATTAGAATAATTCTAATCTCTTAAGAGCAAATCATTTGAAGATTCACAATAAATATTTTCTCAACTCAATAATCTGCTGTTTAATAATTCAGGCAATAAAGGTATTCAAGCATGTGTGACTTTTTTTCTTTTGTCCAGACCTGCAGTTTCATAGATGGAGGAAAATTCCAGGGAGGAAATTCCCTCCAGCAGCTTTTCTACAACTAACAGGTTTAGAAAGTTACATGGCCAATTGGTGCTGGGGGGGTAGGACTTGAATTCTGGTCTTCTCTGTCTACAACCCCACACACTTATAAGACATATTTGTGAGAAAATAAGTCCATGCTGTTTCTTAGGAAAACAAATTTGGGGCAGTTAGGTGGCACAGTGGATAGAGCACCAGCCCTGGAGTCAGGAGGACCTGAGTTCAAATGTGACCTCAGACACTGACAACACTCACTAGCTGTATGATTCTGGGCAAGTCACTTAATCCCAATTGCCTCACTGGGAAAAAAAAAAAAAGGAAAACAAATCTGCAACTTTTTAATTTTAAAATTCCCCCTTGCAATAATTTATTTACATATTATCAAATTTTGCCTAATGATTTGAGTTAAAACATTCTACACATTCATCCCACAGGAACAATTCATACTTTTCTGAGCTTAAAAAAAATGTTGACCTAAAACTCAAGAAAAATTCTCCGTTTAATGAAAATGTCTATAATAAAAAGGGATCCATCAATCTTATCCAACTTCAACTTGTACATTTCATCAAATCAAACCAACAAACATTTATTACCACCTACTATGTGCAAGGCACTATGCTAAGCACTGGGGATACAAAGACAAAAAGGAAACAGTCACATCCTTTAAGAAGCCTACATGCTACTGAGGGAATGTAAAATGTACACAAGTTATTAAAAACATGGTGCCAAAATACAGTTTTAAGTGGTAGGGAGCACTAACAACTAGGGATGTGCTTTGAAAGAAGCTAGGGATTCTAAGAGGGGGAGGTGAGGATGGAGTGAATTCCAGGCATGGGGGACAGCATATATAACTTCATAGAGGCAGGAGGCAGTGTCCTGTTCAGAAATAGCTACGAGAACAGTATGATGAGAACAGAGAGTTCTTTAAATGATGGGACATGAAATCAATTGGGAAGAGTCTGTGGCAGTTAAGATAGAGAGGGTTTCAATGTCTGGGTAAAGATTTTGTATCTTATCCTAAAGACAACAGAAGACCACTGAAGATTTCTGAACAGGAGAAAGATCTGTGTTTTAGGATGATCAGTCTGCCATGACGGCAATATAAAAATGATTTTGAAAGGGGAGACAAGATAAGCCAGGTAAACAATTGTACTGTTATGATCAAGACAAGTTTGAAATGACAGATTTCCTTGAGTATCATGACCATGTTTTTTGTATCTTGCTCCAACACCTAATACTATTCCACACGTGGTACCTACTCTTTTTGTTGGCTCACTCAGTCTAATACACAGAGCTGAAGACTTTAGGACTCTCTACTAAAGTATTCTTCCAATGCCTCATGACATGGAGGTGATCCTAGATTCTCGGAGGTTAAACCAGCAGAGCATAAGCTCTGGCAAGTCCTACCAAGCCAGAAAGCCTTCAGGTACAGGCCTGGTGATGGATTACATTTCTGTTGCTGGAGGACCAACCTAATGATATGCAAAGGTATAGCCCTTGAAGTGTGGTAATGTGGTGACAAACTTTTCTGGCCACAGAAACACAAGAGGACTAGCCACGAAAGCAGAGAGGATACTGTGATATTACTGATATAGTACCCACATTAATGAAATCAAAGATCCCTAAAGTACATGTAAGAATATTTTCCAACTATGTGTGCAAAATAGAAGCCACTCCTTCAACATGATATAGTAGAAAGAATGCTGGATTTGAAGAAAGAGGACCTGAATTCAAATCCTGACTCTACCACTAATTTGTGTAACCTTCTGCATGTTACCAAAGCTCTCTGGGTCTTTATTTCCTCTACTATAAAATGAGAGGATCAGACTAGATACTTCTAAGATTCCTTCTAATATTCAGTCTACAATTGTATGATTTAAATGTTCATTTAATTTGTTTTAAATAAATATGTATAAGGAAGGGTAAATGCTTAATTAAAAACTAAGAAATAGGCATAAGTCAAATATGCCATTGTATTTGCTTTATTTTAAACTGGGATTATATGTCATCCAGGAAAGGAGAAAATAAGAATATCTTTAAATAGGGTAACAAAGTGAAAAGCTAAGCTAAACAAAACTAGATCTTTTAAAGTGATGGGTCAATTGAGCTTCTCCAAAATTAGACAGGCTGTCATAGTAATCTGTTTCCAAATCAATTCCCCTGCAATGTTCCAAGTTAATCCCACTAAGTTTCACCTCTCCTATGTTATCTCCTATGTTACATGTATTTTAGGGATCTTTCCTGAGCTAGGAAGACCTTCACCATTAACTTGGAATCTATTCCATGCACAGCAGGAGTTTCCAGGAGCAAGGCTGACTTGGCTACTCTAGAACAATACCTGAAAAGCTAAGTTACACATACATCAGTCAGGCAGTAAATAACTGCTAAAACTTATTTGCACTGGTCATACAGAAAATTAGAGCAACAGCCACTTCAACATTAGGGTTAAAGTAATATGGTGATATAGTGGTCTGGTGATTACCTTTATAATAAAAGCTCTAAATAATACCTATTGTTAGACTCAAACTAACTCTGTTTGTTATGCTTTGATCTTTATAATTTATTTTAAAGATAACCTTATATCTACCTCCAGCTCTATAAGTCTTGCAATGGTCTTTGGTCAAATGCAATAAAATTCTGACCTGAAGTAATGATAATGCTCTATAATCTTCTTCCTTGTAAAGGCAGAGGTTAAGACAAATCTGTCTGAGAGCATCTGAAATTATGTTGCTTTACTCTTGATCAGTCATGCACACAAATGCCAATTTCTCTCTGCAATTATCATTCTCAGAGCACATTCTATGAGACTGGACAAGCGAGCTGAATGCAGAGAGCCACGTGGCTCTGCATAAGGGGCAGCTGCTATCTATACCCTCAATAGCCTCAAGACACAGGGGATATGATTCTACACTGGAGGAATGGCAAAGGGAGGCGTCATCCATTCAAAATGGGCACCAAACGTTTTAACTGCCTTCACTGTTTGAATAACAGGGACACTTGAAGGGCCAGAAGCAGGTCCCACTGGCACTATGTGGGGGTCAGCATCTATATAACCACCCTCACCTCTCTTGTCACTCTTTCCATTCCATTCATGATCTCATCTTATCTCCTCTCAGTAATTTTGGGCATGTGCCACTATAGGACAGGCATTCTGGGCTAGTGAACCACAACCTTGATAGTGCCCTGATTGCTAAAAGAATAGTCTATGATCAGGGGTATACAATGTTCTGAAAGTTTCAAAGTGCTGCAGACTAACCAGAACAGACTTTATATTCTACATATTTATTTTTTTTTTAAATCCCCTTGCAACTATAAAAGCCCCAGGCAAAGTCAGCTTTCTTGCCAGCACCAGACTAAAAGCAGCTTTAATATTAAACAAGAAATTCTAAAAAAAAAAAAAAGTAAGCTAACAGAAAAATGTACTCCTGAACACATACTCAAGACATGGAGATTTTCAAAACAAGTACTCTCTTCTTTTGAATAATCTGCTGTACCATTGTACGTAATGTGTACATTTATTTATGTACATATTGTTTCCCACACTAGAATGTAAGCTCCTTGAGGACAGGGGCTGTTTTTGTTTTTGCTTTGTATCTCTAGTGCTTAGCACTGTGCCCTTCACATAATAAACATTAAAAGCTTGTCAATTGTTGATTGCACACATTCTGCAAGACACAAACAAGCTTTGCTCAGGGTGTCAGACTAGTTAATTCCCATCTGTCTTGGGCCTTTCACCTTGGATCTTCACTGTTCTCAAGAGAAGAATGCCTGAGTTTTACATATTATTGGCTAAAAGCACAACAATGGCACTTATGGGGAAACAGGACCGCTCAGACAAGAAAAAGAAAAGGGATAATAGGATGAGTATGCCAACAAGGATGCAATGATCTTCAGTGACAATCAATCCTGGTAACATGAAAGTAGGAAACCTTTCAATGAAATACTCTAATTTTAGTTGGAGGATCTTTGCCTGCCCAAAACAAGAGTTAATTTTTATAGAGAGCTGGGAGGAACCATGGAGACCATCTAGTCCAGGGCTTCTTAACCTTCTGTAAATCATGGATCCCTTTGGCAGTCTAGTGAAGCTTATGGAGCACTTCTCAGAAGAATGATTTTAAATGCATAGAACACCTACGATTACAAAGGGAAATAATTATAATGAAATATAGTTAACAAAGTATTTTTAAAAACCAAGTTCACAGACTATGGGCCTAAATGAGGAAACTGAGGCCTAGGAAGATAACCAGGTACTTCAGAAAGATGCCAGCCTTATTCCTCTGGAGGTCTTATAATCTAACATTCCATTCTAACCAAATGCACGTACAAAGGACAACCAAAAATACGGATGGTATTAAAAGACACCTTGTATTCAAAAGTTGGAGAAAAGAAACTTATGGCTAGTGACAAGGAACATGAAACAAGTAAATATGGTCATAAGTAATATTCTGGAATCTTCTTCTCTAAAGATATTTGAGAATATGATAGATAATCATATGTATAGAACTGACTAGACAAAGCTAGCCTGAAAGCAGAGAAATGAGTTAGGACTTCTGGAGAATCAAATTGTAAAAGGCTCCCCCAATCTGCCTGGACGTAAAATATACAGCAGCTCTAGTGAAACACATACAAAAGTAGCATGACCAAATAAAAAACTTACTGTTATAAACAGAGTATACAAACCCCAAACCAAGACCACAGGGTTATCATAACTGTTGGGTACCAAAATTTACTCAGAAGAATCAAAGGTCTGTACAAGCAATCAATATTAATGAAATACCTAAAAGTAAATGCATAGCCTGGAGAAATTTATGTGATCTTTCTCCATTGCACTTCTAATAGTTTCCAGCTTTAACAAATTGTACAGCTCTAGACCTACAGTCATTCCTGTTGCAGCTATATGGAAAGCTGCCAACAAACATTCTCTGCTAAATCAACTTTATCCTTTGTCATTTTACTGTTATATTTCATATGATAATTTATGCCAAATTTGTATAGAAATTGTAAGAAGAAATGAAAGGTTTTTAAAAATGTTGAAAATGTCATTGTTCATTAGGTTAAAGAAGTTATCATGACCCTCAATAGAGGTTTGAGAAGGAAACCCCCCAAAGTCCTTTATGTTTGCATGGCCCCAGTTGAGAGTTAGGAATATAGACCATGACAGGGAAAAAAAAGAGAAGCCTGAACATACTTCATCAATGTATGACTGTAGCAAAAACAGACAGCCGCAAATTCCAGAGCTATGTCAGTTCATATAACATTAATGTTATTTAAGTGGGACACTGTCCAGATTGTTGGGACTCAGAGTTTCTCAGAAGTACCTTAATGACTGTGCTGTTTGATAGAGTTCAGCTTAAGGATTCCACCCTTTTAAAATAATGTCATTTTGCAGCACAATTCAACTCTCAATTGAGTATAATAATAAAAGTTGGGTCATCACCTCATCTATTATTCAAGAAAGTCCCATCTTCCCATCAGGCCATTTGTTGGACTGGTAAAAAGGACAAGCTGTTTTATGTTTAATAAATTACTAATGAAAATTAATTTTAAGTAAAAAAAAATTAAAACAGGCCTATTACTGAAAATCTTAAAGAAAATATCTCTTCAGTGCAGTAGTTTTTCCATCGAAAATTCAACCTGGAATTTACAGAAATGTCTAACAATTTAACCTTTTATATTATAAAATGATCATTTTATATTTTTCTTCAGATAAAGTAGTATTAAAAAGTCCCTCTGAAGAGCCTAGTAGGCTTTACCTAATTAGAGTTGTTTTCAGTAGCTATTCTACTTGCCTTCCCATATAAAATGGGCAATTTTTACCACTATCCAGAATAGCAATAATTTTTTAAAAAATACTTTTTTCATTAAAAAAATTAAGATTACTGGTTTTATGTAATGAAGGGATAAATCAGTCAAGGTACAAAAATGTAAAGTAAGTAATTAGTTCGAAGATTTACAATCATTTTCTAGGCAATCTTGACTAATATTGCTTATTCTTCACAAAAGCTTACCATTTATTAGTAACACTGTATTTGTGCATAGCACTGTAGGGTTTATAAAAACATTTTCCCCATAGAATAACAGTATTATTATCTATTTCCATTTTACAGATAAGGGAACTGAGACTCACATATTATCTGGCTTGAGCAAGGTCACACAATTCATGTCAGAACCAGGATTTAAACCTAGGTCTGCTGACCCCTGGGCTCTGCCCATCCGCCTAGGGGCAGGGGGGGCCAATGAGGCTCTCAGTAAAGGCCTCAGATCAGTAGACTCTATTTTTTTGGAAATTATTTCTTGAACATTAATCCCTTTAGTGTTCACCAGTTTCCAAGTTCCATAATCTTATCTTGTACTATACTTAATTGCGACTAAAACTTTCTCTCAATATGATATACAATGTATATTTAAAAAATTTTTAAAGTACTTTTAATATGCCTTAAAAAACAGCAAGCAATATTCAACATTAGGTGAGAATACATAAATATTATTCAACAAGCCATGCTGATAGGGTGTGTAACAAAGGAAAATGAAACTGGTACACAGTTTCATCAGGGACTACACAAACATCAACTCAGCAGTTCTGGGAACTTCCACATCTGTTTCCTATCATTGATTATTTTAATCTATTTGTCTCCAGTCTTTGTCCAGCTCAGGTCCAAAATTCAGGCATTTGCCTAGAAAACACTCTTACAGTAAAACACAGGAAATTTGATTTAATGACTCAAAATATGAATGACCCTCCATTAAAACCATGCCATTTGGCTATTTCTCCCCTAAAGCTATAGTGAAAGCAACAACTAACTGAAGAGATAGATTTCAGACTACACTGACAGCAACCTCCAACTCTAAAGTGATTATTCCTATTGATTTTTATAAATGTTCTTTAACATTTTATAAATGCCCCTTTAGTCAAATGGGAAAAAAGCAAGCTAGAGTAGTTAAGACTACTGGACTACAAGTTAGAAGATCTAGTTTTTGATACAATCTGCCATTGACTTAGGTAATGTTGATATTTTCATCAAAAAAAAAATGCAGTTCCAAAAGAAAAGCAATGCACTTACTTTTGGAACATGAGGGTTAAACTCCACTGCTCTATGAATTGCTTCCACGGCATTAATTTCCGCAGTGCTCAGTCCTCTTCTAGAGGCTGTTTCTGGAGAAAATCTGGGGGGGGGGTGGAGTGGAGAGAAGGGGGGAACACTTCAAATTGAAAAAACCATTAAAGAAAAAAGGAAGAATTATGAGTTAAGATCATAAGTCAATGTCCTACAATTAAGAGGTTTCTGGTGATAGGAAAAGGCAACTGATTTCTAAAATTGAAAGTAAAGCCACCTGGTTCAATATATACAACCAGGAAGCAGAGGCAACAGAAATCTTCAAACATATTTGAAGTACAGTTGATGCAGAAGTACTTAGAAACTAAGTTAGACCCTTTGGGAAGGATAATAAAATCAGGAAAGCTACAGAGGAACATCTATAGTCCTACTACATAGGAGACCTCTACCAGTTTTCACCTGAGAGGAATGCAGGCAAAAGAAAAAGTTTCCCTTCATTCAGCAAATAGACACATTCAGAAACGCATTCAGAACAACCAACAATTAAGGTAATTAAAAATTACCCATGTTATATATAAATTAAAGGAAATAGCACGTGATATTTCGTTCTAATATATAAAATGTCAAATTAAGGAAAAACATTATCGATGCTCATAGACTTGGCCAAAGAGTTTCAAGGACTGAGTAAGGATTAAGAGAAAAACAACTTTAAAAGAAGCATTAGTCAAAACCAGCAAAGAAAGAAAATTAATGTTCTTATATTTGGGTCTACAGTTAGTATCTTCTCCAGATGCTCTAAATTCCACAGCTACTCACCTATCTGACACGGTCCTAGTCTTCAACAGTGCTGCTGTATAACAAATTGCTGCTGACTTTGGAAGACTGATATCTGTAATAAAAAGATCCAAAATCACTGAAATCAAGCTTAAATTTCTTAAGGAAAATAACTTTAAAATTATGTCTATAAACACATTATGTAAATTTCATAACTTTTTTTTAAATGTCAAAGTTGACTTTCAAAAAGTTAAAGTGCACCAGAACTACAGCGGTAAAGATCATCTCTTTAATGACTCTCAAAGCTCAAGTGAAACTAGCAAATAAAATACTAAAATGGAGGATTTCCTATTTTTTCCAAGAATACAACAGTGAAATTCTACAGCATAACAGTATTAGAATACTGAATAAAGAATTCAGAACACAGGAGCAAATCTCAAATTTTTTAAACCAGTTAAATCTCAAGTCCTGGGCTTTCTCTAGCAGCAGCTCACTTTGATTTCTTAAATACAGTCTCCAAGCTTGTCTAGTACATGTACCCCAAGCAGGCCAAGCATCTGGTAAGTAACATATGGAAAGGATTTCTCACAAATTTCTTCATGAGCGTGCATCATTCTGAAGCACTTCTTAAGTGTTCCAGATGTTTAAAAAAAATAAACTTCTCTCTCCAAATATAACACTTTCAAACTTTCCAAGTCAACAGGCAAAAAAGGAACAGGTCACAAATATTTCTAAGTTAATGGTCAAAAATCTACAACAGGACAGGTGTGGTAAGTGATAAGGTGCACTGATAAGCTGAAAGGCATGTCAAAGGACACTGTGATGAGTGATGTCAGGCTACTTTCAGTTTGTGGTTACGAGGAGATACCTCACAGGAGACATGTTCATGTCCCCAGGGAGAAGAACAGTTGTAGTGTGTCTCTGCAGCAATCCTTACAACTCCTGAGGTGAACTGACGCAACTATTTCATAGTAGCAAGATCAGGGTACTTTGGCAGGATAAAAGGCATCTCTTTTAGATTTCTGATTCAATTAAAGACCCTGATGAGAAGAAGACACTTCCTAGTGACCCATGCCAGTCTGCCCTTTGTGCTACATTTTGATGTTGAACCATCTGACAGATAGACTAAGAGAGAAAAGGGAATGTAATCGTTAGGTAAAAGTGTTAGACAAACACCACTTACCATCATATTTCGCCAGAACTGCCTGCACATCTGCATAAGCCTGTAATTCTAGAAGGGATTCTAGAAGATTTTCATGGATGTTCAACATACTAAGAGGAGGAAACTCTTTCATTAGCTGCATATTAAAAAAAATGGTTAAAACATGGAACACAGAAGTTGTAGTTTAGCAAAATAACAACATACTGTCTCTCCCTAGATGAACGTAAGCTCCTTGAAGGCAGACAGTTTCATTTTTGTTTTAGTCTCCAGTGCCTAGAACTAGAATATGCTTAACAGATGTTTATTAAATTGAATTTGTTGAATAAAAGAGACTCTACAACTTGCTAAATAAAGCTACATTCCATATGCATTTTGTTATTAAGTCAATTAAAAACTGATTCAACTAAAAATGTAGAAGTTGCTGAAAACACTTTCAGTTATTAAAAGTATCAGTATTGATCTTCAAAATTACTCACATCTCTCATTATTTTTACTGCTTCTCTTATTCTTCCTAATTTTCTCGCACACATTGCTAGTCTTCGTTTAATATAAACCAATACATTGGTGTCTCTTCCTAAATGAAAAAGAAAAGAATGATACAACTACTGGCTAACATAATCATCTGAAATTTTATTTATATTATCCATCACATTTCCTTACTTACATGGAAGACATAACTGAAATAAAAGCATATAATTTATGTCTCTACAAATAACTGGTCCAACAATAATACAATGCAAAATCTACAGTACATGTGTCACAAGTTCATGTTTAAGACTCACAGAAAAAAAAAGCCATTATTAATTGAGAAAAGCAGCATTAACTCATTATTTTATACTTCTACTTAAATAACAGTATTATTATAATCTTCACTTGTTTTGACTGGCTAGCTAAGAGATTCCAAAATAAAATTTCCATGGATAATTAAACTTAAAAAAAAAAACTGCCAATGGCTAACAAACTCAAAACTTCTAGAAACCATTTAAAAAATTTTTCTGTAACTATCTCATACTCACATATGAGATTTTACAAGGATAAATAACACGACACTTTTTAACAGATGCAATTTCATTAGTTCCAGCCTACAAAATTATAAATTCCCACAGTTGTGTGTTATAATAACACGCAGTAATGAAACATACTGTATACATCAATATTTAGCCTAGAGAGGGGACATTATCCAAACCTGAATTTCCACAAACAAAAAGATTTAGAACTTAACTGCTAACAGATAATACAATATATAAACATTTCAATTTATTGTCCACTAACTGCCAAAATCATGAAACTGAAGCCCTTTGGCCACAAAGAGAAGGCAGCAGCAGTGCTGTTGCTCCTAATGTCTCTGGTAAAAGTGTCTCCCTATGGAAAGAAGAGAGGCCTCAGTTTTTGTGGTTCACCAAAAGACCACCTCAAGCACTTCATGGAGAATTTCAGGAACAATTAAGACAAGATATGAGGGTGGGTGGGTATTGTGCTGAGAATTTAATAAAGTGAATTCATCCATATCCCACTGCAGCTCCCTGGCCCTAATTCTAGACATCCAGAGCCTGAACAGTATTCATTTTGTGATGACAGAGGAACAAAGCAACATCACATTACCAGCAAGAAAACTCTAAAATACTGAATACAGCACCTTCCTTTTAAGAACAAACTGTTACAAAGTGAGTTTTTAATGATTCTCCCAACCTCCCCTTGTGATGAATTATATATTTGTTTTGACAGTAACTACTATAAAAATTGGTATTGTTATCTTCTTTCAACATAATTAAAGCAAAACTTTTATATTTTTCTCCTAATGAATACATTTTTTTCTTTTTTTAGTTTACAAATAACCTAGGTAAATAGATTAGCCACTTCTATGAAAATGAACTAACCTATGAGCATTTACCTTAAAAAGAAAAAAAAAGAGTATTCGGAAAGATACGCTCAACTCAGTTTAGATGTGCTTACTAAGTTGGGCTTCATGCTGAGGACTCTGGTGCTGGTGCTGCTGTGACCTCCTGTAAATTGTCTCTCCAGCTTTGAGGGCCTGTTTAAATAACTTCTCAGCATCGACAATCGTCGTCGCCTCCTCCTCAGCCAGGAGAACATAGGCGGTGGCACAACTGCAATGAAAGCAGAAGGATGAAGGGAACAGTGCATCTTCTAAACTCCTCTTCTGCCCCCCTTGTGTCCTCACACTGACCCCCTCCTTCCCAGCCCATTTAGCTTTAAATGGAGCTGGTCAGGATTTTAATTCACTAGCAGCCGCTCACACAGAAGTAACCACAGTACCCCCCTTCCCAGCCTGTTTTCCTTCCATCTCTTCTCCCCTCCTCTTGGCCCCTCTCTTTACCGTACTTCTCTCTCATTTCCCAGCCATCTCCAGACTGAGCTGCCTCCACTCCAGCCATCTTTCACAACACCTCTGGATTCCCTGCTCCTGGGGACAGTACACAGAATGCTGGGCCTGGAGTCACCGAGACCTGAGCTCAAATCCAGCCTCTGACACTCACCAACTGGGTAACCCCAGGCAAGTCATACAACCTCTGATTGCCTCAGTTTCTTCTACCGTAAACATGGGGAAAACAACAGCATCTCCCTTTCAGGGTTGTTGTTTAGCACCATGCCTGGTACATAGTAGGTACCATATAAATGCTTATTCTTTTCCTTCCCACACCAGAACCGCTTAAATTCCATCCCTGGATCCCTGGGCTCGGATAGCTAGCATTTATACAGTGCTTTAAAATCTGCAAAGCGCTTTATACCTGCCATCCCATCGGATTTTCACAGCCCAGAAGGGCAGATGCTGTCATTATTTCCATTTGACAGAGGAGAAAACCACAGCTTTGAGAGGCTAAGTCACTGTCCTGGAAGTCAAGCGCTCTATCCACTGCCCATCTGCCTTTAGGAGAGCTCTTGTCTTACCTCGATCTGAAGCAAACCTCCTTATCAATTTGAAGTCATTTCCAGACCATCCTGCTGCACATCTACCACTTTTCACCCCAGCTTTTTAGTTCCCCTTTATATGCTGTCTTTCTCCATTAGAATATAAGTTCTCCTGTCCACATCCAGAAAAAGAACTATAGAGCTTAAATGCAGATCAAAGCATATTATCTGCTCTCTCTCTTTTTTTTTTGTTTCTTCTTTCTCATGGTTTCTCCCATTGGTTCTAATTCTTCTTTACAACATGACTAATGTGAAAATAGGTTTAATATGAATGTATATGTTGAACCTATATCAATTTACATACTGTTTTGGGGTGGGAGGAGGGGAGAGATATGGAGAAAATTTGGAATTCAAAATCTTGTAGAAGTGAATGATGAAAACTAAGAATAAATAAATAAACTTATTTATTTAAAAAAAAGAATATAAGTTCTCTGAGAGAAGGGACTGTCTTGTTTGCTTGTATTTGTATCCCCAAGTGAATGGCACATAGTAGGAGCTCAAAATGCTTTGTCATTCATTCATTCCAGGTTTTTTTGTCCTATTATTTATCTTTTTGCTTCTACTTTTTCTTTCTCTGAACTATTTTCCTTCTCTATTTTTTCTTGAGGTAATGCAGTGAGGGTGAGAGAGTGAGAGTGAGAGAGAAAGAGAAAGAGAAGAGAGAGAGAGAGAGAGAGAGAGAGAGAGAGAGAGAGATGTAAAGTGCACAATATATTATATAAAGAGGTAGCATGATGAATTATACAATAACTAAGCCTGCTTTTAGTCTGTATACATTGAGATGATTACCTTAGTTTATTTCTCTAATTTAAAAAATTATATTACCATGAATAAAAATTTTTCAGAAATAGGGTGACTAAGACATGCTATTTGTACAGGATAAATTTCTTTTTCTAAAATCTTCTGATTCATGTCCTAGTAAATTTTTCCAAAGTGATTATAACTCCCCAACAGAGTCAAGGAGAAATAAAGCAAAAAAAAAAAAAATCAAGGGAGATGAGGGCAATGTAGGAGAAAATAACTGTGCCTGATAAGAACTAGCATGTTCCCGACAGCCCAGATCCAACAGCTAGATCTCTCCTTATTCTGGCTCTGCCTTCCTTCACAGTTTCCTTTTTATCTAGGGCCCTACAAATGGTATCCAAAACAAGTCTATCCTCCCTTTGCCCCCTATACTAGTCTTCCCAATCCCCACCACTATTACAAGTCTCAGTCTTCCTCCTCACTGAAACTTACCTGTCCTATGTATTCTTTTCCTTTGGGGTTAGGGTCCCTGAAATTCCCAAGGTAATGACCATATAACTTGGTAAACTGAATCTTGTTAATATAATGTTTTCAAAAACAAGAAGTTCTCCCAGTACCCTCCTTGTACCGTGTTCATTTTAAAAGTATGCTTATGAAGACAATGTTCCTACCTTGTTTCTTTAACACAGAAGAATGGCAGAATTAATAGAAATATCTGGCCAGGTCAAAAAAGAAGATGACAGTAGGGCAGGGAGACAATTAAGGGCCATACAAGGCAAATTATGTAAATACTCTCCATATTACACTAGTAAGAGCTTTCAATAAAAGGGAAATATGGGGTAGCAAGGTGGACCTGGACAAGGTGACCTGGGGTAGCAAGGTCATAGAGCACTGGCCCTGAAGGCCATTTAAACTCAGGAGTGTCTGAGTTTAAATCCAACTTTAGATACTTCAGACTTCAGACAGCTGTGTGACCCTGGACTAGTCACTTAATCCCAATTACCTCAAAAAAAAGTGAAGTATATAATAATTCCACTAACCAAGAAAAAATACTTAAAAAGGAGAATTGTACCTAATCTCGATGTGTTTTGAAGTATATGTAAATCAGACAGAAAGGACTACTGAAATTATATTTTAGTAAGAAAGACTGCTTTAAATGTCTAGCTACCCTACAATGCCCAACTGATGTTCCTTAACTTCGTCAAAATGAAACCTCAAATTTGCCCCTTCTAGAATGTATCCCCTGACAAACCAGCTCTGATTCCTTTCATTCTGCATCCTTTGGCATTTATGATTTCCTATTTTATACTTAGCAATATGATGTTTTTCATGTTGATTTGTGAGTACATGTTCCATTTCAAATTAAACTTTAATATTCTTAAGAGCAGGGACTAGGCCTTTTACTTTGAATGTCCATTTTGCCCCTTAAATACCATTTTGGTTCAGAGAACTTTAGGTATTTAATAAATGCTTACTAATAAAATGAACTGATTTTAAGGAACAGTTCTGTAGTTCTGGAGAACCCCTTTCAAAAACCTATCAGGATAGGAAAAAAAAAATCTTTCAGAGGGGACACACTTCTGTACTTTCACACAGACCCAGAAACTCCTATATAGGTCAGGAATTGGGAACCTGCGACCCTGAGGCAACATGTGGCCCTCTAGATCCTCAAGAGCAGTCCTTTGACTAAATCTAAACCTCACAGAACAAATCCCTTAATAAAATGATCTGTTCTGCAAAACCTAGATGCAGTCAAAAGGCCGCACTTGAGGACCTGAAAGGCCACAAGTTCCCCACCCCTATAAGTACAAATTACTGTCAATTGCATTAGCAATCTATTTTTTTAAAAAAGACTGTTCCTATTTTTAACATCTATTAAAAAGAAACAAAAACCATAGTTCCAAAAACATAGTATAGTTGTCAAAAAGTTTTACTGTATTCATGATATGCATATTTGGGTGAAAAAACTCTAAAACTTTTCCAAGTTTCTTCAAAAACAATAAGTAATTAATGTAAAACAACATAAAAATGTTTGACAAATCAGGTTTCTTGGTTATTCCTTATTTTCACATATTTCAAACTTACTCATTGTTCAATTCTAAAGCCTGATATGCTGCTTTGATGCGAGCTGGAGGATTTCTCTCCCGCCATGCCTTCTGCATAACTATAGAAAAAAATTTCAAAAAAGAAAATTATAAATATAAATTTTCTTATGTAAAATGTACAAAATGCTAGGAAGGTAAATACTGTCAAATTATATATTCCTGAAATTTACCTGAATGGAACTGGGTTAATATCTCACATTAACCCAATTTAGTTGAGGTAAATTTCCATTTAATGTGAAAGCCTGAAACATAACAATTAACAAAGTATATCTTCTTTGTCACATATGTGAATAAGCACTATTGTGAAATACTAAGTTTATCAAACCTCTATAAAATATGAACACACACATATACCTGGAAAGTTGTGTTCAGTTTGTATTAAGACAATCCACTGAGTTCAAGCCACCTGTCACATTATAATCAACCTGAAATATACCACCAGTTATTAACATTCTGAAAGGTAACAAGAAGCTGCTAAAAACATATGAAACCTGAAATGTTAAAAAAAAACCTCTTAATTTGTGTTATGTTTTAATCCAAGAGGTATATTTTAATTTCCTTTTGATGTAAAAGACAAGAGAATCAACTTCATACACTGAACACTTCTAGAAAATGTCAGTAGTTTCCTTCAATTTTTAACAAAATCCTAAATTAGGAGCTCCCTTCAACCAAAGGAAGAACATTGCCACTTTGCTACGTCCATTTACTGGATTAAAATAAAGATTTCACATCAAAAGTTTCTAAACAATAACTCAAAACTACATCCCTGGAAGTATCTGGCTTATTTCAGGTTTGATAAGAAACCTAGAGAATCTATGTATGTTTCTTTTGGAACAAAACCTGCAACTGTCCAGTAAGAATAATGTGGAAAATGTTTGAGTTTTCCTTTGGAAACAAAATATTAGTCTTGGCTTGGAAAAGGAGACAATACACTCCGCTTGTGCAACAAAAATACATTCCTCATCTCAAACATGTCACCAACTAGATGACAGCTAATGCTTCCTGAGCTTGACAAATCGACGCAAGTCAGCGTCTATGTACCAATGACCAGGTAAAAGATAGTGATTCTGGTGAAACACTGAAATATTACCCAAGAAGGAAGTACTCAGATAGACAATATTAAGTGAGCTTACTCCTCCACCCTAAATTAGTTATGTTACAGAATTATGGGACTCTGCTTTATAAATTACACTGTACTTTCAAATCAAAATGTAAAAATTAAAACAGAATTAGAATACCTAAAATAAAATTATATAAGTTCTTTCGCCTTTCATACTTTTCATATGAGAGAATAGCCAAATAACCACAGATTCCAAAACAAGTACTGTTAAAAGATATTCCACAAATCATAAATAATAGAAAGTTATGGGGAAATATATACTTTAGGACACAGCTATAGAAAGCAACTGTGAGTTATGTATTATAGTTAAATAGATGTAATGAATGAAAATAATCAGGAAAGATGTCAGATATGTGCTTTCCAAAGATGTTACAAATATGTTTCATGTATTTAGTAATATATTCTCTCCCTTCCCTTAAGGAGGAGGAGAGAAAATTATGTAAGTTGAGTAGCAATACAGTTGAGAAGATAAATTGGGTGAGGGAAGAACTGTTGTAGAATCAAGAGTTATCACCTAAATCCCAAGCCCTTGAAAAAAAAAAGTAAGCAGGGTTGTTCATGGCTTTTCAAATGACCTGACTAAGCCTTCTAAACTGCTCTTCAAAACCAAGGCAGTACCTGACTGGGAAGTGTTAAGGAGACGCAGGCTGAGACTGGTGACTTTACAAAGGAAAAAATTCACGTCCACCTTGATCATATATGCCAAACACCATCAAGGACACGTATTATGAGAAAAGGAGGTGAACTTGTAACGTAGTAAGAGAGATGAATAACAGGACTGCTTGAGCGTTGCACTAGTATCCATGAAAATACTAAAAGACCTAGATGAGGGCCTCAAATACACTGGTTAGATAATCTATAGAAGACTTATGGAAAGGCACAGACAAGAATTACAGATGAGAAGGCATGGATGAATTACAAACTCTGCTGGTGAAGGGAACTGCCAACACTGATAAGAGACATCAACCAATTAAGGATTATTAACCAACATTATATTAGTAGATTTCTAGGAAACTTCTATTCCTCCTAAGGGGCAGCAGGTAGCACAGTGGATAGAGCACTGGGACCGGAGTCTGGAAGACATCCTCATAACTTCAAATCTGACACTTAGTGACTGTGTGACCCTAGGCAAGTCACTTAACCCTGTCTGCCTCAGTTTCCTCAACTGTCAAATGAGCTGGAGAAGGAAATGGCAAACCACTCAGGCCCTCAAATATTTGTAGATAGATTGTTTATTTTAGTGTTTATTGTATTTCAAAGTTTATTTTAGCAAAGTTAGGTCTTTGTATACCAAAAGTATGTGAAAAAAATTGTGCTTATGGTCTTCAGTTTTTCAGTCTGTCTGTTTAATCATCCTTCCGAGGTGCAAACAATTCCTAGAAAAAAAAATACTAAATATAATAGACATACTTTGGAGATACTACGTAACTACTCTCTGCATATCTAACTCAGTGGATCTACACAGGCAGTTTCCCCCTCCTTGTTCATCTTTACTTCAAAGCCCTTTTGATTAGATTTTCAAGAGTCCATACAAACGTATTTTTAAAATAAAAGCTAGAATTTATATAACACTTTAAGATTCGTAAAGCACTTTACAAATGTTTTCTCCTTATAACAACCCTGGAGGGTAGGAAGCTATTAAAACACAGTAATAGGAAAGGTGCACCATAACTTACAAAGCGATTTAGAAAAATTCCTAAGAATAAGCCTGAAATTTTAGAACAGGAAAATAAGCTTAATTCAGCATACCTAAGTGGGTAAATTCCAATATGGGCTTCTCCATAAGATTGGCATGATAGTTTATCAAGCGCTTTGCTAAAATCTAGATAATATATTTCCAGAATTCCCTTTATCTACCAGTTTACAAATTCTTTCCAAAAGGGAAATAAGGTTAGCCTAAGACAGATAACCTATTCTTGATGAAGTTATGCTGGCTCTCATGAGCACTGGTTTCTTTATTAGATGTTCACTAACCATGTTTATGATAATTTGTTCTAGAATTTTGCCCAGAATTGGACTCAAGCTCACTGGCTTATAATTTGGAAACTCCATTTTCTTCCCTTAAAAAAAAATCTGGACATTAGCCTTCTCCAATCCTGCAGCATCTCTTCATTTCTGGACAATTTTTCAAAAATCACTGACAAGGGCTTAGCAACCACATCTGCCAGTTCTTTCAATACCTTAGGACATAATTCATCTGAGCCAGGTGACCTGAACTCATCAAAAGCAGCTATATGTTCTCTAGCTCCTTCTTTCTGCTGGGCATCAACCTCCCAATATGAAATTTTTGTTCTGTTCTTTTCAGTACAAAGATGATTCCTTCTGGTAGAAATAAGAAGCAAAATAAGAATTAAGAAGATCCACTTTCTCTCTCTCATCAGACGTCATTGTCCTGCCTCCTTGTAAACAGCAGCTGTTTCTTCTTTGAGCCTCTTTTTTGCCCCAGCATAAATTCTGCTGGTTTGCTCCAATACTACTGACCCTGTTCTTACAGAAATATGCCACGCTTTGGATCCATCTCCTACTACTCATCCTTGCCTTCATCTTTTGCACACATCTTTTAAAAAATCCAAGTTGGCTGGTGAGTTCCATGTGGACCCATACTGACCTCTTGAGATAACTCCCATTTCCCCTCATGTGAATTGTTTTTTTTAGTGTCTTCAGAATTTTACACTTAAGTGCTTCCTATCCCACCTGGGCTGACTTCCTTTTAGAATTTTAGTCCATAGGACCCTACCTATCCTTTCTCTTAACCCACTGAAATGTGTTCTTTCCAAATCCAGGATACACATTAGATTATGCCCAACTTTCCTCTCCTTTTCTATTGCAAATTCTAAGGTAGTGGTCCTCCCAAGGTTCTCACCTTTCCACCCCACCTAGCAACGAGTTTTTCTTTGTTGGTGTGAATCAGATTCAGAACAGAATTTCCCCCTTGTTAGTTCCTCCATCTTTGGAAGGATGAAATTACCATTAAGCAAAAAAAAAAAAATTAACTTTTACTCTTCTTTTGGCAGGAGAAAACTCTAGCAGATGTCTAAATAACTGCAGTTCACCATCACCAGTATATCCTTCTTTTCTGCCAGACTTGTGATAGGTTTCCCAGACTCATCTGTCTCCTCTTTCTAGTCAGGTAATCTATAAATTACTCTGACAACAATACTGCTTGTTTTTACTTGTGTTTATCTTGTCTCCTATGTATTTCTGCGTGTCTCTATTACTGTTCTTCCTAAATTGTAGCTACTCTCTACAATATCTCACTCAATGGATCTACATAGGCAGTTTCCCCCTTCTTGTTCATCTTTACTTCAAAGCCCTTTTGATCAGATTTTCAAGACTCCAAGCAAACATATTTTTACATAACAGCTAGCATTCATATAACACTTTAAGATTTGCAAAGCACTTTACAAACATTTACTCCTATAACGACTCTGGGAGGTAGGTGCTATTATTATTATCCTCATTTTACAGATAACGAAACTGAGCCTGATTGTGGTTAAGTGACTTGCCCAGGGTTCCACAGCTAGTAAGTATCTGAAGTTGGATCTGAACTCAAGTCTTTCTTAAGTCCAAGGTCAGCTCTCTATCCATTGCACCACCTAGCTGCCTCGGTAAGGCCTTACTAAATATCCAGGTATACTATGGAGATACTATGGTTTCACTTCCAGACCATCATAAAAAAGCAAATATCACAATAAGGTGAGTCACATACATTTTTGGGTTTCCTAGTACATATGAAAGTTATGTTTATATCATACTGTAGTCTATTAAATGTGCAATAGTATTATGTCTAAAAAATGTCCCATACCATAACTAAAAATATTTTATTTCTAAAAAATGCTGACCATCACCTAAGCTTTCAGCAAGTCATAACACTTTGGCTGGTGGAGGGTCTTGTCTCTATGTTGATACTGCTGACTGAACAGAGTGGTGGTTGTTGAA